AAGTAACCATCAAAGCTTGAAAGCACATATTTCCTTTCAACTATTATATTTGTTGATGTGTTACCCCATCCACCATCAATCTGCTTTTTCTCTATCTCTGACTCTATCTCTTTCTCGCAAAATGTTATGAAAGACAGGTTTTGTGAACTTATTTCTGTTAGAACCAGTGTTAAAAAAAAAAAGCCCAGGTTTTACATGGTCTAATGGACCATGATAGTCAATGACAAAATTGTACTAGCTGTGTCATGGATCTTATTTGGCATCTAAATATGCTCTCTGAAAAAAGAGAATAAGTACAAATAAAATTTTATATTTTCATACACTCAGTAATACCTATTTGGTAAGAATTATATGCTCTTCTCTTCTTTCATTTGGGATTCGCTTTTTCTGCCTATTTTTTGCAATTTTTTAAAAATCCTGGAAATTAAGTGTTTAGTTCTCAGCATGGGATATGTTGGAAAGAGCATACCTAGGGAGGGATTGTTAGAGCAACACAAGTGCTCTTTGAGTCAGCTTTGACATCCTAGGGACAATGAGTATTAAAGATGTGGCTACTTGAGTTGGAGTGGTCAGCCTCCTACCTTGTGGGTCCCAAATGATCCTGAGTAGATGTGGATATTCAAGGGAATTAAAATGCACAGCCCCTTTGGAAAAATAGTAAGGGCACCTACCATTGTATTTTACTTGATTGTTTTATTTATTTATTCATCCATTAAATACTCATTGAGTGCCCACAGTGCACCAGGCATATAAATAAAAACATCCCATGACATCGTTCAAAGAATGATGATGTATGCATGTGCCTACCATGGATCATTTAAACTTTAATGGACTTCAGTTTTTAAATTGAGTTAAATTCTATTGAATATGTCTATTCTTCTCTCTCTCACTGTCTGTCTGTCTCTACATCCTCAGATTTTGGGGCTTAGCCTGGCCAGTGAATCAGAGTGGGGAGCTGATTATAACATTAACCCAACCCTCCTGGGAAGTAAATATGCTGTCTTCTGCTTCCATTTTCCTAAAAGTGGAGGCTACTGATGTCTCTGGTCATTTTGCAAAGTGGAGATGATGGTAATCCTACTTCATCTGGTTGAGGGAGGATTAAATGGGATCGTGCACAGGGCTCTGGAGATGTGGACTTCACTAAGGTCCAGTCCTGCTCTCTTGGGGGCACCACACACAGGAGAGGGACACACATGTTATACCAACTCTCCCGTGGGAAATATGGCCACAACACCCTGGGAGCCATTGCATTGGCTGGGAGAGCTGGAAAGGTTTGGGCCCTGAGAGAAGTCCAGGTGTGGATGAGCTCAGACCCGGATCACACTGCTGGTGTGGACTCACTGTGGACTTGCACCAGGCCTGGGGTTTGAGGATGAGAGTCATCACAATTCAATGTTCACATGGGATCCTCTGCTTCTCTTTTATCTATGGCAAAATACCACCCAGGGATACTTTTGTCAGTACACATGGTGCTGGGAGCACTCGGACGGAGGGCAAACTAGGGCAAGTGGTTACCCAGCTGGATGTCCCTAGTTTTTTTTCAGTGCCTATCCTGACTTCTGATCTCTTTTTTCTGCTTAGTATAATACTTTTAGAACTTAAATACACATGACTTGGTTCAGTGTAGCTGAAGCTGGTAAACCGCTGGGCCCAGGAGAGCCATAGTTTGTAAATACTATGGTAGGAAACCTTTCCCATGGCTCCTGTCAAACATTTTAGGCAAAGACACTCTATGATATGATTTTTAGCACAAACATCATTTGTAGAAACACATACATGTACTTATATAAGTATAATAATTTTTTCACATATAAGGAGATTGAGGCAGAGAGAGATTAATTTCTATAGCGAGGTCACCATAGCCAGATAGCAGCAGAAATAATTACCACCCTTCCTTTAAACATTGCTTTAAAAATATGGTTGTTTTTTTTTTTTGAGATGGAGTTTCACACTTGTTACCCACGATGGAGTGCAATGGCGCGATCTTGGCTCACCGCAACCTCCACCTCCTGGGTTCAGGCAATTCTCCTGCCTCAGCCTCCTGAGTAGCTAGGATTACAGGCACGTGCCACCATGCCCAGCTAATTTTTTGTATTTTTAGTAGAGACGGGGTTTCACCATGTTGACCAGGATGGGCTCGATCTCTTGACCTCATGATCCACCCGCCTTGGCCTCCCTAAAAATTGTTAACAGAGCATCATATTTGTTTGATAATTTTGATTATTGAAATATGATTTGTTGCTGATTAAGTAGTATGCTATTGCATTCATTCTTGGAATTTAAAGAAAATAGCGTTTTAAAAGTGTTTTGAAGCTTAAAAGGAGAAGGATAGATGTATATAACATGTTGTATAACAAATACTACAAAAATTTTTTTGCTTTTTTTTTTTTTGGGCTGATAGCAGAGATGAGGAAGTTTCTATTGAAGAGATTGTGTTGAGTAAATTTCTTGATTCCCCTACTGCCTGCCCATGCATTGTTACAGGGCACACAGAGAATATCTGTTAACTTGTCAGCAGCACTCAATACCATGGTAGCAACAGCAAAACATATTTACTGAAGATGATCAGTTGATTAAATGTCTTGACCCCTCCCGTGTATGCACAGGCATTATCACAGGCATACAAAGAGGAAATGATCAGCCTCTGCACTGAGACTCTGTGCTATTTAGATGAAGAAAGAAGACTGTACTGGAACAGCAGGCTGTTCCAAGAACAGTGATGGCAAAGTCCGAAGGGAATTTGAACACTGCGTGTCAGAGGTGTGGGGAGGGGAGGATGAGGGAGGGCGGGAGAGGAGTCCAGCTGGGAAGACTAGAAGGAAACTGTTGGAACAGTTGTGGCCTTCACACCAAATGCCTTTTGCGGTCTTACCTTATTATTCGCCTTTGCTGGACTGCATGTCTTTTCACACCCCTCACTGTACCTTATGATGAGGGGCCAAGTAACCACAAAGCAGGAAACCTTGTCCAGGAAACAAGTTCTAGACTCTGTCCTGTGGTCATTGCCTACTAAATTCCTTCTTTCACCATAGAGAAGGGCCAGAGTCAATAGGAAAAGGTTATACTTACTGTCAAGAAGGTAAGGACGTAGGTAATGCGTCTCAGAAAACTTGACATTAAACAGAATTGAGACTATAGCAATTTGGGGAAATCGCAAGTTTCTAGAGGATTCGTATATCGGGAAAGGGTGATTCTTCTTTTTTCCCAGCTTTGTCCCAGAGAGCCCAGTGTACCAGGTATTACAGTGCTTTTTCTGTATCTATCTTTTCTGCTTTAGGCTTGCATTTGTACAGTGTTCCATTTCCCTGTTTAAATACATTTCTTCACTTTTACTTGAAATAGGACCCAGTAGGATATTATGTGGTACTGTGTATGTAAGTTTCATTGGTGCTAATTTGAAAACAAAAACCTTTGTCTACTGTTCTTTAATCTCATCAACTATTATTAAGAAGCTTCATCTAAGAGTTATTCATAATCTGTTTTGCATATTTATCAGTTGTTGCCTTTGACCAATAGTGGATTAATTTGGGTAATACTTTCACATGATATTAAATTGCTCTGTATTAGTAGAAAATATTAAATGTTACTACTGAAAATGAATATTTATAGGACATCATTTCTTGAGCATTCAGTCTAAAACAACCTTTAAATGTTTTTTACACAGTTTCTAAAGTAGTTAATTAATTTTTTTGAGACAGAGTCTCACTCTGTCACCCAGGCTGGAGTGTAGTGGCAGGATGTTGGTTCACTGCAACCTTTGCCTCCTGGTTCAAGCAGTTCTCCAGCTTCAGCTTGCTGAGTAGCTGGGATTACAGGCACATGCCACCATGCCCAGCTAATATTTGTAATTTTAGTAGAGACAGGGTTTCACCATGTGAACCCTGGTCTTGAACTCCTGACCTCATTCTATACAGTTTTATTAGCAATGTCCCCACACCTTTGGGGCCCCATGCACTTCACCTGCTCCCCTTCAGCACCTCATTCACATAGCAAATGTGACCAGAAAGAAGCCTCAGTCTTCTCATTCCTCTTGACTTAGGCATTGGTTTAAGATGCAAACAGTTTTGTTAATGCTCAGAAACACTTGCAACTTCTCATCTTGTCTGGGACATCATGCCCTTTGACATCCTTCATTACATTTTATGAGAAAAAAGCAAATAACCACAAAGCCAATAATTTTAAGAAACCATAAGGGATTGGGGCTGAATTTAGCACACTTGTATTATAGAGACAAAAATTGCCAAGGGGCAATTTATGACTAGGGGTGATCAAAGTGGTCTCTCGGCATGTATAATTAGATAGTAAATGTTTTCTAACAGTAGAAATATAACATGATTATTGCTCTGTAAGAAGAGCATAAGTTATATCATTTTGAAATCGTTTTCTTTCTTTTTCTTTTTTTTGAGATGGGGTCTCACTCTGTTGCCAGGCTGGAGTACAGTGGCACAATCTTGGCTCACTGCTACCTCTGCTTCCCGGATTCAAGCAATTCTCCTGCCTCAGCCTCCCGAGTAGCTGGGACTATAGATGCACACTACCATGCCCAGCCAATTTTTATATTTTTAGTAGAGATAGGGTTTCACCATGTTGGCCAGGATGGTCTTGATCTCTTGATCTTGTGATCTGCCTGCCTCTGCCTCCCAAAGTGCTGGTATTACAGGCGTGAGCCACTGCGCCCGGCTTCATAGTTTTATTTCTATTTTATATGTTTATATTTTCATCTGATAGTCTTTCTAGCTTTGTCTCATTAGAACTTGAGAATTGGAGGGTTTAAATGTTTTAAAAGGATTTCTTTTGTAATGTTACTGCTGGGGGTTAACTGAAAGAAAAACGGTTAAGTCTGCCTTACAGTTACTGATGGGAGTGTTGGCAATGTACACCCATAAAATCCTACCAACACTTCGTTGGGATAATTGAGTAACGTGTAACTGGTGGCATTAAGCATCACAGAAAGAATAACTTCTGACCGTCTCCTTTTTTCTTTTTGTAATTTTTAGATTTGTAGCCAAACCATGTGCCATAGCCCTCAACATTCAGGCCAATGGACCACAAATTGCCCCGCCCAACGCCATTCTGGAAAAGGTCTTCACTGCAATTACAAAGGTATGACTGTCCTTTCCTGGGGTATGGATTGTCCCCGGCCACCATTCTCAGCCTGCCGTCATTCAGTTCCTACCCTTGTGGGTTTGGAGAATCAACTTTTGCCTCGCCTCATGCTGGAGCACATGTTGTCAGAAGGAATGCAAGCGTAGCAGAAGCAAAAGAAGATGGGCTTGTCTTAGACCTAGTACTGATGCTCAAGTTGATTTTTAGTAGCTTGCCTAAGAACAGTCTTGATTAAATAATGATTAGTCTAATTCTGTGCCTCTTTTAATCTCATGTGACCTAAAGCAAAATGTGACTTGAAGTATGAGGGCTGGGGGAACTTTGTGGAGGTGACTGGGTACAGCTGAAGAATATGATTTATGTGTGTGTGAAAAAAAGGACCTCTTGGCTTAAAGCATTGTCCGCATATTCTAGGAGCTATGATAAGTAGACAAATGTAAACAGAAACAACAAGAAGGTGTAATTGCAAGATAAAAGATTGTACCATAAAGGTATGAAGAAGGAGGGTCAGGAGAGTCTTAAGTGAAGAAATAGGTTCACTGTGGATAATAAAAGGGAGGAGATATCAATCTGGTGGGAGTCAAAGCCCAAACTAGGAGTGGGAAGAAGGGAGCGGGAGAGAAGCAGGGAGAAAAGACCATGTCCCCCTTCCTCCACCCCCACCCCAAGTTCATATCTTCTTCAGAACAAAGAGGGAGGAGAAAGCCGGAAGTCAGAAACCCCAAATTGAAGGCCACAGGGAAATAAAACAAATTGTAGACTTTTTATATATCTTACCAAAAAGATCAGAAGAAATACAACATTCTATGAGAAGTATTGTGTGTTCATAAATTAAATGGTTAATTTTTTCTCTTTCATTTTTTTTCTGGGAAAATTACCCAGACATGATTTGATAGAATTCAGCAAATTCTATTTTTCTTGGTATTTGTGTTTCTAGCCTTTTGTACTATCTTTCTCATGTTACAACTATTAATTCAGATAACCAAACACTTTTGTCTATTTTATGGTCTTCATTTCTTTCAAAATTCTCTAAAGATTTTCCCTTTGTCCTTTTAAAAATGTTTTCTTCCTTCAAAAAATTAAGAAAGTACCAGGCATTTTTTTTCTGTCTCTGCTAGGAAGAAGAGAAGAATGAATGGAATTTTAGGAAAAGCTCTTCTGGTGGTTTTTATGAGATAATTTCAGATTGCCAAGTTCCTGCCTGAAGGGACACATATCTTATGGTATTTAAAAGAAGAAAATACTAAAAAAAGTTTGCATTTTCCTTTAGTGTATCAGATTACTGAAGTGAAGCAACTTTTTCTCTCTCAAAAAAGCAGATGTGTAGAGACTTCTCAGGTTTATTTGTAAATGTGATTATAACATATTTGGAGTCTCTTTGTAAACTACTCTAAGTACATTAAACATGAAGTATTCTAAATAAATAATAAAATAAGAATTTTTTTTTAAACGCAGATTTGATGGTTCCACTTAAAATTCCTGCAGTGGACATTTCACTTCCCTTGCCTTATGTTTATTATAGTTACTGGAAAAATTTCCTCCATAAAGGTAGTAAAAAGATTTAGCTGCCAGGTTGATTGCTCTAAAGAATACTTGCTTCTAGCTAATTTGAATGATCATATTCTTTTAGTTTCCAAGGTGATTTCTTTGGAGGTTTTTACATGATTAAAGTGGAAGCCTCATGTTTAAAATATAAATGCAGCAAAAGTTGGAACTGGTTTTCCTTGTATTCTTTGTAGTTCTTCAGTCTTAGTTATAACATGAAATGTACCAGTCAGTTAACTGGAATAGGAGGGGCAGGACTCGGAGAGCCCAAACAAAGTGTGTGTTTGTGTATGTGTGTGAATGATCATTCACTGTCCTGGCCTTACCCCCCAGTTTCAGCTGCCTTTTTGTAGAACTACATGATTATAATCCTTCAAGTGTGAGAGACGAACCCTTAAAATCTCTGCATATGACTGGCTACATAGTGTGGGGCCCAGTACAGAATGAAAGTGTGGGATCCCTTGTTCAAAAAGCACAAAAAAATGTGCTATTAAAAGTACAAAAATATAAAGCTTTTTCCTTCCTCCCTTAGTCTCTCTCTAGTTGTCAAGGTGTTTTTGTTTTTGAGACAAGATCTCACTCTGTTGCCCAAGCTGGAGTCCTGTGGCATAACCCTGGCACACTGCAGCCTCAAACTCCTGGGTTGAAATGATCCTCTTGTTTCAGCTTCTCAAGTAGCTGGGACTACAGGTGTGTGCCACCAGACCTGGCTAATTAGAGACAGGGTCTCACTATGTTGCCCATACTGGTCTTGAACTTCTGGCTTCAAGTAATCATCCTGCCTTAACCTCCCAAAGTATTGGGATTATACTTGTGAGCCACCATGCTTGGCCAAGGTGTTTTTTTTTGTTTGTTTGTTTGCCCTGGAGTGTTGTGTTCCCTAATGGCATTGGGAGACTCTTGGGAAAAGTGCAGACCCGTACAGGTACCTGGGGCCCCACCCTCTACCACCAGCTGCCAGGTTTCCCTTTTCTCCCGCCACTGGCTGATACACTGTATCTTGGCCAGGAGAGCAGAGAAATAGAGTCAGCCCTTTCTCCAGGCCCACTGCCCCAACCCATGGGTGATGAGTGACCTCCAAGTGCATTGCAACATCTATGTCCAGATCCAGGGGCATGCTAGAGGCTCAACCCTACTGAGTTGCCCACCCATGCACTGGGGTAGCTGCCTCCAGCCTCCCTGAAACTTGACCCCGACTCTCAGTGCTTGCACTCGACCCTCTACTGGGGGCTGAAGGCAGCAGCAATCACTAGGAGGTGGGGAGACAGGGAGGGTGGTGGGTGCTACAAGCCAGGGGTTGGAGGACTGGGCAACCACACACATCTGGTGGAAGTGGTGGGACTGTGTGTGAGCCCAGAATCCAAGCTCCTAGCACATTCTCCTATGCCCTATGGGGCTTCATTTACAAAGCACAGATTCCATGATAAAACTATTGGGAATTTCAAGATGGTGACTGCAGGGCTTCCAACCCCAAATGTGGACCCTTCTTAATGGGAGTCCCCATGTGACCCACAGGTCACATGCCTTGACTATCTGGTTCTCCTTTGTGAAATTATTAATAGCTGATAAATTTGAACACATATATATTTTCTAGCAGTCTTTCCTTTTGCAATAACACCCATCTGCTTGTTGCCTGTCTCTCTCTCCTCCCCCATCCCCTAAATTGAAAGCTTTATAAACATTTTATAGAAACTACTCCTATTAAAATAAGTAGAAGCCTTTGTGTTTGAGCCAGTCACACCAGGATATTTGTGTTGAAACCTTGGTTCTGCTTCCTCCTGTCATTGTGGCCCTGGGTGAGTTTCTTAACCTCCCCACGCTGCAGATAGCTCACTTGTAAAAATCTTTGAATAATCATCTCACAGGCATTCATGAAGGTTAAATAAAATAATCATGTAAATCATTCTGTAAATGATATGGCATCTTTTGTCCCATCGGCCCCCATATTTTGATTTGCATTTAGGATCACCTGAGGAGTTAAAACGAAGACTGTTGCATCATGTTTCTAGAGATTCTAATCATTAGTATTGGAATGGGATCAAAACATCTACGATTATCGATTGTCAGATCCGTTCAAATCAACAGAATGATTATTACGCTTTAGTGAATATTTTTGACCTGATGTTTCTTAACTTGTTATGTTGTTTCTTAACTGGTTATATTCAGAATTATCTGGGTAAATATACTTTTAACTTTTGGGGATTCTCCTACCGTAGTATTTGTACATGTTTCTATGATACCAACTACCTCACTTTTCTAATCAAATCACTGCTTAAGTCATGGGAGTGAAAATACATGTGAGGTATAAAGCCAGGTTTTACGATCCAGGGAAATAATAAAATTTACTTTTGGTATGTTAGACTAAATTTTATAGTATAGGCAGATTTCCTGTAATTTGTTTTCCCTGATTCTCTTCAATAACCTATTTCCTTTCATTTTATTTTATACTTTCCTTCTTCTCCTCCCAGTACTGGTTAAGATTAATGTTATTATAAAAGTAACTTAGGTGTTTCTAGTATATAAATGCTTATGTGAGTCACCATTATTCATTTCTTTCCCTGGAAATCTTTCAGAACAAAAGAATGATAAGAAAAGAACAATAAGAACCCTACACACATGCACACATACTCTATCTGTGTGTGTGTATATATATATATATATATATATATGCTTGTGTACACACACAGTATACAAACATACACACACAGAAAGAAAAAAATGAAAGAAAATCTCTCACGAATGTTTTATTTGGCAAATTTGGAGATGCATATCTCTAGATTAAAAAATATGTAAAAGGCTAACTAGATTGAGCAGAAACCAAGTAGGAGGAAGTGAAAAGCATGACGTGTTTCTGGAGGTCCCTATGGGGATGGATGTCAGGAAAGCCAGCACAAAGGCACTTCTCAAGAGTTGGGGAGACAAAAGCACCGCCCACTGTTTGCAACAACAGGTGCAGGAACAGGTGAGCCAGGCTGGCAGGAGTGGAGGAGGGACACATAAAGCCACACGGAGGATATATTTTCAGGAGGCCATCTCCCTCTATGGTAGCCAGACTGGAAGAGCATCCTTCCTGCTCCCCATACTGGAAGTAGCAGGTCAAGAAAATCCAACTAATTCAAAGATGATTAATAAAGAAGCAACTCACACAACATCAAAGACAATAAAAAGAAAGTGCAGCAACTCCTGTTAACAAAATTTTCACTAGAATAATGAGGCTAAAGAGCCAAATGAGAATTGTGATTAAATATTTTATCATAAATTTTTAAAAATGAAGCAGTAACTGTGAAGGTGTAGATCACAAAGAAGAAATATAAAAACGAAAGAAATAGTAGATCAGCAAGAGGAGGTGGAATGTGAGCTGGGAGAGTTCAGAGAAAAGTACCAAATCCATCACAGAAAAAAAGACAACATTGGGAAGGAGGCAGGAAACACTAGTGACTGCAGAAAACACA